TCTGGTTTAAAAAAGGACATATTTAGAGATGGGGCTGAACAGAGTTCCAAGACTGACCTCTAACCTCCCCAGATTTTTTCAAAAGATTAAAAATAATTTGTTGTTGGAACACAGTCCTCTGCTATGGACCTGAATACTACACCATTAAAGTCAGAGGAGTTTATTTTCTGTAACACCCAGCAAGAGCAAGGTCAAGCCTGTGACAATCACAAGGTATCAGACAAAAATAGATATGGAGCTATCCATCTTAGCAGTTTATTTTTGCTGCGAAATCAAGCCAACAAATCGATGTGCAATGACTAAGTTATCAGATAGCAAAATTATGGTAAATAATGCAATTATAATTATGGGCATTAAAATTAATTATCATTATCATTACTTAGCATCACAGGCACATACAGATGAGATGTTAAAGAATCTACAGCAAAATTACAGTGAAGCTTCTTCAGTGTGTGGTGGGACCTTTTTAGGCCACCTCCAAGAGAGCATTAGACTGAAAAGTGATCTAGATGTACGAGTCTGGCTTATCAGACATCTTTCAGTTATGGATTCCTGATTATGGAAAAGTAAAATAAATTGGAACATCAAAAAAGCAGTGTTATTGTATGACAGACGCAACGCAGTATTTTAACTAATGTTGATCCAGTTAAGCAACCTCTTGAAAAAAGACAAAACAAAGCATATGAGTCTCTTAATCATATAGTTACCATAAAGCCTGAAAAAAACTAGACTTTCTTTCTTGAGCAATACCTGGTTCTAGATTTTTGGGAAAGTAAGCACCGATGATGGATTTTGCCTTCCCTGGCATAGGTGCTTCCATCATTCGTGCAGGATTGAAAAGAATGAGGGAAATGGACTGATGATACCGGATTACTTGGAGGTGGTCACCAATGCTCTGGGATGCTGTCAGAAATACTACGCAGAAATAAAGCTACTTTGAACTACTTTGGCTACTTTGAAGCCAATTACTGAAATAGAGGGCATTGATAGTTTCCAAGTTGCTCTAGTGTCTTGTAGTGGCTTTTTGGCTATCTGTGTTGCGGGTCTGACAGCCTGCAGGGGCATAACATTACCTCAAATTCCCTGGGGGCAGCTGAGCCCCACTGTACAGGACTTCTGGAGAGACGTAGTTAGTGCCAAACGTGCCGCTCAGGGAGAACATAAACAGTTTATAAAACAGTTGTTCATCAGCATCACAGCAAATCAGCATGTCTAAGACGTGCGTATACACATGCATAAAGCATATGCATTTAGGCAGAGAAGTTGAACAGTTTGTGACCCAGGGAAGTTACTTAAGCTTTCCTAAATAAAATTGTCATACATATCTGCCTACTCTGTGAAGATATAAAGAGAATATATAAAGATGTAGCATATTAGAGAAAGCATTATATGGAAGTTTAAAGAATGAATACATGTGAATGCAAAGGCTATATCGATATATAGTTTCTTCATCTTACTAAATTACTATATGTTGGAACATCTCATTAGCACCGTGATAACATCCATAGAAGAGACCAGCTCTCTGTTGTAACAAGACCATCCCTATTGAGACAGCAAGAACTCTAAGATCTCTCCCATTTCCTACACAAACATGGAAACCTCCTTAAGGTGTTATAGAACAGGATCAACTCAAGATCTTAATTTTCATAACTTGTATTATGCTCATAAATTCAGGAGCAATATCCTTAGTAAAGACTCATGGACTCATGAAGAAAACACTTTTTTAGGGGGGAGAGAGGGGGTGCACAGGAAGGGCCAAAAAATGTATCCTCATAACCTATCACAGCCAAGATGGGATAAATGCAACCGGGGTGAAAGCAGAATATTCCAGCCCTCCTTCTGTCCAAATAAGAATAGAAAACCTTTACCTGCAAAGAATACTCTCCTTCAACAATACGTAGTCCGTCAAAGGCACCTAGAACATAAATGTTGTCATTTTTTTTCTTCGCCATCCTGTAACTCAAATGGAGGTTCCTCTGGCAAGCAGCAAGACTCCTCTCAGGTTCTGTGAGTTCAGTGAAGGAGAGGAGATCGTGGTAGACAACTCCACTGAAACAGCGCTCATTTGGCGGGAGCCTTTGGGCGCTGCTGGCACACAAATTCCAGGGAGCAGCAGCAGGATTGGAGGGAGGGGGGCGTGGGTGTGAGCGCAGCTCTGTCACCAGGAGGTGACCGTTTTCCATTTCTGTCTTATAATGATATGCTCCTGGGCCATCTGCGGCTTAAATACCACTCCCTGCAAATACATAAAACCAGAAGACTCTCAATATGAAAGCAAATGTGGGTGCAAGTCTCTGCTAATTAAACATCCACCAAATTTTATTCTAATGTTAACCAGACACTTTTATAACTAAAAGCTTTACAAACTACAATCCTGATCCAATGCTTTTTACAGCCGGTAGAAAGTAGACCAAACTCTGATATGTTGTGACAATAATAATACCCTAATTATATGCTGTTACGTATGATTTAAGTGACTGAAGCTCATTCCTCATTGAATTAATTTTCTTGTCTCTTCAACAACAGTATTTGTGATTAGAACGAATGATAACACTGTCATGTCAAAAAATCTTTAAGGAAACACAGGTTACCAAAAGTCACAAATACATGCAACTGTTCACGTAAATACATCTTTGAAGCCCAGAGTAAGATGCATCCACAGAGAATTTGGGCTGTACGATTTAAGGTTGTCAATGACCCAGAACAATAAGAACTGCCCAGATTTGCTTTCATTTGGAAGGCAAAGCTTAGCACTACTTCTTAGCCCCATCAGTGAGCTTCTCTCATTTCTGTAAGCACATTTTCATTAAACGCATGCATGAATTCTTGCATTTTTTTTCATAAAAATATATTGTAAAGACAAAGCCTACAGAGAAAAACTTACACAAACTCTCCGTTTCAGAAGCAGTGTTTGCAAGAAAACTCATGGAGAACATTTCTCAGAAATAGGTTTCCACCTACTGGAGAAAAAAATACTGTCCTTCAGATCAGCAAAGCAGTAATAACCATCCAGGCAGGAGTCAAGAGATAATGAATCACATGCATTAAATTTCAAGAGTATTCATTTAACAAAGAATTAAAGTTGTTCTTATTAATTTAAACATTTCTGAGTCTTTATGCAACATATGGCACAGGGTGGCATCCAAGCGGGTTTTGAAGATCTCCAGAGAAGGAGACTCCACAACCTCTCTGGGCAGCCTGTTCCAGTGCTCTGTCACCCTCACTGTTAAAGAAGTTCTTCCTCACATGGAGATGGAACTTTCTGTGTTTTGATTTGTACCTGTTACCCTGTGCCCTATCACTGGCCACCACCGAGTTTGGCCCCATCCTCTTTATATTCTCCCTTCAGCTACTTATATGTATTGATCAGATCTTCTCTCAGTCTTCTCTTACCCACACTAAACAGGCCCAGCTCACTTAGTCCTTCCTCATACGATAGATGCTCCAGTCTCCCGATCATCTTCGTGGCCCTATGCTGGACCCTCTCTAGAAGTTCCCTGTCCTTCTTGTACTGGGGAGTCCAGACCTGCACCCAATACTCCAGGTGCGGCCTCACCAGAGCTGAGCAGAGGGGCAGGATCCCCTCCCTCGACCTGCTGGCAACACTCCTCCTGATGCAGGCCAGGATCCCATTGGCCTTCTTGGCCACAAGGGCACATTGCTGCCTCATGGTTAAGCTGTTGTCAACCGGGACTCCCAAACCCCTCTCCACGGAACTGCTTTCCAGCAGGTCAACCCCTAATCTGCGCTGGTGCCTGGGGTTATTCCTCCTCACGTGCAGGGCCCTGCATTTGTCTCTGTTGAACATAATGAAGTTCCTCTCTGCCCAACTCTCCCTTCCATCAGCCCACTCACCCCTCCATAGTAGAGGCAAAACATTTCATGATCAGTACATGGAATCCCGTCCACTTGCAGATCTGGGATATCCTCAAGATAAAGGTATACTGTTTCCCCTGTGAACACCCATAAATGCCATCTTCAGGTATCACAAGGATATGGGCACCCTAATGCAAATTCAAAAAACAAACAACCTTTTTTTTTTTCCTCTATAAATAACCACTGTTTACCAAACTGCATGTCTCTAAGTAGGTCATAACACCTGTTTGGCTGCTGCTTTGATGGCTGCTTCCACAATATCCATATTTTTGTCCATTAGCATGAAGGCATCCTCAGGAGAGACAGGTATTTCAATGTTTCCAAAAATGGCTCAGGTAGGGATAGAATTCTGAAGTATTTCTCATTTAAATGACACTAGTTATTTGCAACAAGAGAAGGTGACTGAAAATTAGTGCAACTAGAAATTAAGTCATTTTTATCTGTTGAAAAATGGTTACCAGAGGAAACCCCTTTTAGGACCACACACACACAAGTATAGGAGAATGGCAGCCCTACATTTAGAGAGACTTTCTGCTGCAGAGGCAATTGGTACAAACCTTCCAGTTGGCATTTATTAGCAATAGAGACCTCTCACATTACACACGTACTGCTAGACACAAAGTCTTTCAGGCTCTTCTTGTCTCTTTAAGAAAGTTCATAAAACTTCAGAAAAACAAGTTGCTTTATTGGAAAAAATATTGTGCTTAATGCTTTACCAATTCAAATTATATTTCAACAGTTTATTTTATCAGCTGAAGTATTACAACATTATGATCTTTCTTTAAAAAAGATGTAGAAAATTACGGTAGTAAAACTGCAGTTTTATCTATGAATAACCCACAGCAGATTCAAGTGTAAGAGACACATTTGACAATACACCTCTTCGCATACAGTGGTGCACTGTACATGGAACACAGCTAAACAGGCCAACATCTGGGAATTACTCATCAGTGCAGCCAATCCACATGAGCACTTCCAAAAAGAAAGGCAGTCTGTGTTTAGTGTTTCAAAACAGATGCAGCTATGAGTGAACTACAATAGGTTGTTCACATGTATCCCAACTTGTGGGCAATGAAACACTCATCCACTCGACTCAAGACTGAGTTAAACCACAGTCGTAAAGAGAGGATCCAAAAGTATGTCTGGCTATGTTTCACTAGCCAACAGGAGAGTTCTTTCTTCATTATTACCAGGAGGGCTTTGCAGGCCAGAACTGGAACTGTTTGCAGAGGGAAAATAAGGGAAGAATCAGGTTTGATATGCTCTATACACAACACTAATATGACAGCATAAAAGGAGACAAAACATGGGAGGAGTTGCTTGGATCACTGAATTTGTTTCCTTCTATCACACACACATGCAAGAATATACATACAAGGAATAGCTTTCATATCTATCATTCCTAAAGACATAACACAGCTCCCAGACATCCTCCTGGAGGAATTATCGGTAGCGTCTGCTCTTGAATGCCATAGACCTGCTGCTTGCCCTGCGCAGCAGGACCAGTACTGTTTCTACAATGGGCATTACTTGGTTTAGATCTCTGTCTAGCTCAGTGGTGATTTGGTACAGCACAAAGACAAAGAAAGTATTTAAGCAATATTTTTACTACTCATTTTGTCATTAGCATGTTGAGAGTGAGTGTTGAGTGTGAGGTAAAAAAATGAAAGCACACCTTTGAAAATTGCTTTATAAGATTATAAGTAAAAGAAAGAATAAATGTCTCAGCATACCTCCTCCTTGTGGTCTCAACGATATAGAATATCCCAATTGCAAGTCCCTTTGAGGAAAGGGTCAATTATAATCACAATAATAATGACCTAATGCAATAACTTATAATTGCAATAGATATAACAAGCAAAAGTTGCTGATTACTTACACTTAACAGTGACCATCCTCCTTGGATGGCTGAGGCCCATTCAAAACCCAACTTTTCATCTAGAAATCCTCCTAGAGTGGGACCTACAAATGACCTGCAACAAATCAAAATTGTCAGCATGTTTTGCTTTGTGGTTCCCTTCATTGGTTTGTTCTTTTCCAACAGATTTTCTTCCATAGACCAATCCTTCCTATAATCCACAATAATTATCAATTCAGTACTTGCCATGCCCTCAGTAAAGCTGCTTAGTTACCTCTTCAGCCACAGAAAAGAGTTCATATCATAGCACTGAATACACTCTTTTCTGTATCTAGGACTGCTTAGAGGTTCCATTAAGGACCATGCCTTAACAGGATATCTACACAGATCATTTCTGCTACAAAAATATATCTAAAAGCTCACTCTTCCAAACTTAAATTTCCAAAACTTCAAGACAAATTGATGAAGGTTGCATGCAGGTGAGAAGGCACACTTTGGCAGATAGGGTATTCATCACTGTGGTTGCCAGAAGGCTGAGCTATACATAGAATCATAGAATACTTAAGGTTGGAAGGGACCTCTAGAGGTCATCTAGTCCAACCCCCCTGCACATGCAGGGTCACCTAGAGCACGTGGCACAGGACTGCGTCCAAGCGGGTTTTGAAGATCTCCAGAGATGGAGACTCCACAACCTCTCTGGGCAGCCTGTTCCAGTGCTCTGTCACCCTCACTGT